TTAAAATTCAAACTAGCAGCTAATCTTAGTATCACTCGAATGAAACTCATCTTCATAACGAGAGCAAAGATCTCATCAAAATCGATGCCTGATTTTTGAAAAAAATCTTTTATCATCAATCGAGCCTTGTACCTCACTAGTTTATCACAATCATTTTTAACTTAAACACCAATCTATTTTTCAATAGCCTCATTCTTTGTGAAAATTTAACAAGATCATATGTATCATTTTTTCGTAATGACTCAATCTCTTCTTTCATTACTTTTAATTGAGGCTCTCTATCTCAAGTAGACTGTACATCTTGAAAGCTTTCTAGTTCTCTCTCACTGATAATTAAAATAAAATCTAAACTTGAATACCTGATAGATCGCCTGTGCTCTTTAGTAGATCTCCTAGGTTGAGACTCTACATCACCGATGCCAAAGGTAGCTCTCTCTGTTCAATACTCTTTGATGGAGAATATTGCTTCTGTTACTCAAAATTAATTGCATTTGGCTCATCACTAATTATGGCTGGCACATTCATATCCTTAAGTTTTGTTTTTAGCTTATTTTCATCATTTGTGCCTTTTTGCTGTAGAACCCTTATCAGTGTCGAAATATCACACTCAATAGTAACTCGTGTAGTCTTTTTATTTTTTTCAAGTTCTGCTATGATTTTTTTTATAAAAGATCACATATCTGCTTTTGACTATCTTTCTCTTTATTAGATCTCATATACTATAATCGAATTTCTCACCATCATATCCTACAAACACACACTGTGTGGATTTATTGTCAAGCTTTGACATCTATTCTTTCGGTACATACATGAATGCTTTACACCTAAAAATTTTTAAGTGAAAGTGTGAAGCATCTTTTCCTGTCTACACTTTTTTTAGAATGTTAAAGCCTAAAGGAACTGATGGTGATATGTTAAGTAAATAACAAGCCCATGAGAGCATATCAGAGAGCTTATACATACATGTTGGACACCACTTAAGCTCAAAAACTTAAGTTATTAGGTTCTTGGGTTCTTTATGCATGTATAGGATGTCTCATTCAGATTTTCTAATGATGTGAGATTTTTTACTCACATATGAATCATATCCTAACAATCTCTTCCGTTCACTTATGAGTTTTAATCAATTCTCACCTGGGCTCTCTTGTACGGGTAAGTCCTATCAACACCTCTTTTAGGCCAGGCAATTTCACATCTCTAGTATGCTTTTGGGCCAAGCCACAGCACTCAACCTTACCACCGAGGTTGTTTCAATGCTCTCTCAAGCTTTACACTCTAGGTTGACTCAACACATTATCCACTTGGGTGTTTTGTTTCTACATATTATCATATACTTGCTGCATCTAAGTTGAACCTGTTACATACCGATGTTCGAGCATATAGAGTTGATGGATGTGGCCAACTTCTGATCTATCTACAATCTCTTTCTTAGTACTACATTAGGATTTGAACCCATAACCTTAGCTCTGATACCACTTGTTGGGTCTGAAGTAATAAACATAATAAAGTAGAAGTAATATATCGCGATAAACTCATAGTAATAGATAATAATCAATAATCAACAATGCAAGAAAAATAAAGTACACCAAGATTTACGTGAAAAACCCTTCAGTGTAGAAGGAAAAAATTACAGATCACTAGAAAAATCTACACTATCAAATAATGGATATACAAAGTTTTTCTCTAGCTAAAATTAGAGCTAATCAATAACTAGAGAGATAATTAGAGAAATCTCATCAAATAGGTGACTTAACAAATACACTTTGGATTTGTTTCTAGAGAGCTTTAAACCCGATCTTCAACTTTCAAAATATAGAACTTTGAATCATAAGCCTGTTGATAAAATTTCAACTCAATCGGACTACAGATCGATTTTCGTTCTACCAACTCTCTCTTCTCATTTTTCTTTTTATTTTCCTGACCTTTTTTTCCCCTTGGTTTGCAGTGCCACCTTCTTCCTTTTTTTTCTTTTTTCTTTTTCACCAAAACCAATTTTCACCTTTTATTATGTAGAGCTATCTTAAAAAAGCCTAAAACATAAGCCCTATGGCCTTTGAATAGTTAAATAACACATGGAGCTGAACCCTACATACCCTAACAATTATCATGCAAAATCGTCTTTTTTTATTTTTATTTTAGGCTAGATAGTGTTTCATCTTACTAATTATCCTAAATTATAGACCTTGATATTTTGGATTTTTATGCTATATTAAGGTAACAAAAAATCCTAAATATATATAAATTTGAATTTAATTTAATTAATTTATATAATAATTTTAAAAGATGGTATCTAATAATATTGAAGTTTACAACTGCTTCCTTTATTCTCAAACTATGATATATTTTGTACAAAAAAATCTTAAATATTTCAATTATATAAGTATAACCAAGTGTTTTACCCAATTGGTTGGCATTCATCTTCTACATCATATTGCTATGTTTGGATAATCTTCTCCCAAATTAAAAATACAAAATCGGTATAGTTTTATGAAAAATTATCTCATATATAATCAAGTCTTTTTACTCTTATTATTTGTTAAATTGAGTAAAATAAATAATTGTGTAATGAGTTATGGTAAAGTGATAAATATGTATGTTTTTTTTTTTCTTCTTTTCCCTCTATGCCTTTATCCCCCGTGCCCTTTCTTTCATTGCCCATAAAATTATTCTGTAGCGGGAAGAATTTAAGATTTAACTCAATTAATTTACCTAACCACCGTTAAAATCATTTTCTTATTGAGTTTTTTTGTCCTTTGCTAATTGCAATAGAGAAAATTAAATAGTTGCAATGTAAAGTTAATTGGTTTAGTTGGTACTTTTATTTTTATTTTCAGCTTATAGTTTAATTTTTTTTTCATTTCTGTTGGAAAAAATAACAAAAATATCAATCAAAGAAAACCTAATGATTCTAGATCATATATAGAACAAAAGTGCACAAGCCCTATACAAATATGAACTTATTTTAATTAGAAATATTACATGGACACATTTGTCCTGACGTCTGAATATCTCTAAACTTGACAGATGAGGGATTTGTTTTTATTACCATATTAATTAATATTAATATATCATTCATGTTTTTTTAAAAACCTTAATGCCCTTCCAACGAGATTCTGTGTAATAAGAAGAACCATCTTGTGTATAAACACCAAATTTAAAGTAATGGTTTTGTGCCTCCACGGCCAACAGGTTCCAGCTTTAGAACACCATCGATATAAACCTGTAACTTCGAAGCTTTGACATCTTGAATCACATGAAGCAGAAACCATCTGTCGTACATGTTCTCTAACACAACTGGACCTGTGTTGCAGTAATAGAGTGAACCATTGTAGACTCTCAGCATTAAAGTTCAGGCGTGAGGTGGAGTTGCTCCAAAAACTTGCATGATGCAAACACCCGTTGTTTGACGGTGACTGGGAAGGTTACCGTAGCCTTCGAATTGCCAGACACCAGAAGAATAGTCATATCCCTGATTAGATGATTAAAAAGAAATTAAGACTTTAGATTCAGAAAATAGATTTAGGTCATGGAATTTAGGGTACTGATCTAAGTCATTGGTGAATCCTGACTATGGCCCTGACTATGGCCAGCAAGGCTGTTGGTTAGTGCTGGACTCAGTTTCACTGACCAGGTTATATATTGACCATGACAGCCACAAAGCTTGTGGACTATGGCTGACTAAAGGTATATATATATAGAGGCTGTTTACCCTTATGCGGATCTCTGATCGAGGCTTAGTGGAGCTATCTTTTTTAAAAGGTTTGTCAGTGGAGTAAACTCAAAGCTTGTGGACTCCATCTACAAAGCTGTAGCGTTTGCTAACAGGTAAGTCGTATATGGATTGTCATTCTGGAAGTTGATTTAGATTTCTTTAATGGGAGTTCAATAAAGCCTTTGGTCACATCAACCGCCCCGCTTTCTTCAAAACCATTGCCCAAATGCCTGAGTAAAAGAGAAGAAAAGGTTAGTAAAACAATGGGAACTAAAGCAGCCATCCTTGACTTCTCCGGAAAAGGAAAGGTTAAACAAAGCGAGGAGATAAGTGAATTATATATTGTGAATGGGGTATTGGATATATACTTTTATAGTTGTTGTATACCTTGCGTTGAATCTAAATATGGAATCAAACATTATGAAAAGTGGTTGAAGCTGAACGTTACCTATGCGACGATGCTGTCAAAGCAATTTTACGCCGCTGTCAAAGTAAAGCAATATTACGCCGCTAGCGGCGGAGGGACTTCCCATGCCTTCATGTGTCGCGTAATGTTAATAAAATTTTCAACATGCGAAGAAATTATTAAAAAATCCTTCCTGCCACGTTATTCATAGATCTATACAATAATATTATATACGCCACATTAAAAACATTTCTCCTCAAATTTAGACATACCCCATAGGAATATATACTTCATCTATTTCTCTAATTGCTTCTCTCATTTTAATTAATTTGCCTCCAATATTTTTATTTGGTTTCCTATCCTACATATAATATTAGTTCTACAGCATCCAAATTGGATTCTTTTTCTTACCATGGATCTTTTTTTTTGGCTTAAGATTGTAGATGTTGTGGAAAGAGTTATTAATTACCTTTTACTAAAATTTAATTAGCTAAAATGCCATATAAGTGTTTAAATTTTTCATTTTTTAAGTAAATTTTTATATTTTTATTGTAGCCAAGTAAGACCCTTAATTTATTTCTAAATAAACACTTATTTTAAACAAAAATTGACTTCTGTAGTAGTCAACACCAATTGAATTTTTTCTTCACATAAAAACTGATATGGCCTGATGACGTTCTTGAAAATTGAAAAAAAGTTATTTTTTTAAAAATTAAAAATAATTTAGATGGAAATTAAAATTAATTACAGATTTATTTGAATATAAATTACAAATTAAAAATTTATTTAAATACAAATTAAAAATTAAAAAATTATTTAAATATAATAAAAATATAGAGATTTACTTAACACAAATTACATTCATCTCCAAAGGGGAATGAACAGAGCAAGCCAAACACAAGCATCCATGGCCAACCCAAAGTCATAGTTAAGCATCAAATGGTGGGAAGGCGTGAGGATCATCATCTTCTTCATCTCTGCCTACTTTTGTGCTTAATCCAAGATGTGCCATGACAAGGGCAACATGAGTGAGCAGCTCTCCACCATGCCTCAACTGTTGAGCGTGCTCCCTCCATGAACAATAACTAGCAGCATGAGTCATCATCTCCATCCACACCTCGCTTATCATTTCCCATTTCTCATCATGATCCCACCGCAATTCTCTTGGAAACCGCTGCAATTTCACGGCAAAGCTAGCTCCCTCAAGCAGTGCTCCGACTCTATTATGTGGCGGTTGATAAAAAGATTGTTGTTGAAAGGCAACAAAGTGAAGCAGGTCCTTGGTAAATTGTTTCCTGGCTCCAATGAATCTTGTTTTCATTTTCTCAGTTAAGAAAATCTGGGCTTCCTTGTAAATTTTACCGTTTATCACATCACTGAAGCCTTTACACAGCATTGATGGACGCACAAGAGTAAGGTATATCATGTAATCAGATATAGACTTACTAATGTTGCTCAAGGAATGGGCAGTATCTACTCGATGATTATCATGATCATCATAATAGGCAAGCTCCGTAGCAATATGCCAAAGGAAGATGCTGCGGATAAAATATACTGAATCCATTCTAGGGAAAATGGACGAGAACTCCTCTTTGTATTCTTCCAAATCAGCATCCGTTCCAACCATTTCTCTGTACTTCCCTTTGAACACACGGTCACCTTTCTCATTTAACAACTTCTCCAGTTCATCCAGTTTGAAACCATTTCTTTCGAACTTCTCACGTTTCTTTATCAGATGAGTATAGATGAAATTCTTCAAATCAGGATCGACTGGCTTCCATTTGGTATGACCGTACTTCTGTAAAAGGTTGCCAGTGTCGAAAAGCTTTATGGCTCCAGTGAACCAACTTGTTTTGGCCTTAACGCAATACTTTATTAGATCATGTTGCGCCATTGATTTTATTCCTGACCTGACCTTGATAGACTGTAATCTAGAAGCAACAACCCTGGAGTACGTCTTATGCACCTTGGTACGAGGAAGGGGCAGCTTGATCATTGCCCAGGTAGAGAGAGCATGCATAAGAAATGAATAAAAGTCCAGAGAAATAGCTCCTACCAACAGCAAGTAGGTTATGGCAATGTCAATTGGTGAATGCTTATTTTTATCCAACACTGCTGTGAAAGCAATCAATGAACAAATTGCGGACAGGAAACAGAAGCCACGAAGACATACACTCACTTTAAGATGACGATATTGTATGGGATTCTTGGTGAAGAACATATCGTAGACGAAACTTAGTTCAACATCCACAAACTTAAATGCATCCTCCGCAGATTTAGACTTCATGAAGACCATGTTATCATGAAACTCTCTTGAAAGCCGGAATGGGAGGTCTATAAATAGAGGCTTGAAAACAATATATGATATATATGCTTGGCGAAGAAATTCAACTTCAGGAACGATGCCCTCGCTTTCAAAGAGCTTATTTATCTTAGTTTTAGACAGCCCTGTTCTGATAATTTTTTTCCCTCCCTTAATAATCTTGTTGTCAGAAATTGAGAAAAAAGAATTTAGGAGCTGTTTATCACTGGCACATCTGAGAGCCCATACCCTTTCTCCATACTTGATAACGCCAGCAAGCAATATTGGAGCAGCCACAGCATTAAGTGCAGTGTTTGATTTTGATCGAAACCTTGCGTAGATATAGATAGCCTCTCCAACTTGGAAAACTAGCCCAAAGAAGTGTCTTAACCACAGCTCATTGTCTTCTAAAGAATAAGCTGTAATAGTATGTGGACTGCCAAGATGCCATAGAAGGAATGATGTCCACAACACAATCAATTCATTCTTCAAACGAGCATCACCTCTGAGAAGTGTAGTCAGAACAAGAGTTGCCATCCAATCTGCTGACAAGTAAACTAACCACACACTTATTGCAACATAGGGCAATTTTTTCCCCAAGTATTTGCGTCGAATAGACCCAGAGATAAGGAGAAATAGCTGGAGAATAGAGCTCACTACAATCATCAAGCGGAGTTCCCATTCACCCCAATACCGTTTTGCAAGTTCTTTGAACATATCTTTGAAGACCTTTTCCTTTAATTCAACAAAGATCAAAGTGGTAGCGACTGAAAAAAAAAAGAAAAGGAAATGATGTTTAGATTTTTCTTCCTTTGTTCTGTTAAGCATATTGTTAAATTAATAAAAACAATAGCCTTTTCTACACTTGAAGAAAACGTGCATATTAACAGGGACTAAAAACTAGGCAATTAATTTAATTAAATTTACTAATTTGATTCTTTATCGTACTTACTTGTTAATAACATAGTATGATAATGTTATTGTTGCTAGCTTTGCAAGAAAATGATGTTGAATGGATATCCAGTCCAAGGGATTCAAAAGCAGATTAAACCACTTGCTTGCTTGTTGCACCTGGAAGGCTGAAACAGTTGGTGAGCTAAGCAGAAGCTTAAGAAAAAAAATGGTTGCCTGTGCATAAATTTTAACTAGCCGTTTTCGGTACGTATAACTTGACTTTGGGCTTGCGGATGGACTATATTGAGAATACATTCTTTCTAACTTTTTAATTTTTGTTTTTTATAAAAATAAAATTTTGTTTTTTTTTTATTCTTACTATTATTTCTTGGTATTAGTTACTAGTAAAAAATATCTTAATTTATTCTCCAAGAAATAATATCAATCATAGAAAGTGACGAAACTAGAAATTGTGCTTACAGGTCGAGATAATATATATATATATATATACATAATAAATTTAAACATAATAATATTAAAATTGTAAACAAGGTATATATTTTATAATGAACAAAAAATTTTCAGTTTTCAACTATTATAATTCATATTGCATATACAATTATATATGTGAGTATAGGGTTATTTCATTAAAAAAAAAAAATCTAGTGTAACTGAAATAAAGAAGATACGATAAGAATACTATTATTTCATAAAACAGAGTTACATACCTTTAGAAATAGTAACAAGAGTTAAATGGAAAATTTGTATATTAGATATTATATATAGTGATTTACAGTAACTTTCTTTAATTGTCTTTCCAATATGGGCGTAGAATGAAAACTATTAACACAATAATTAATGTCAATTTATCTGTTCGATTGATTGAAAAAGAAATAAAAAAGATGTAAATTAATAATGGATGAAGAATTAAAAGTGTTAACAAATTTAACATACCAAAATAGAAGAGTTCGAATTAAGCCGGGGGCCAATCTACAATTTCACCTTATTTTCAAGAAAGAATTCGATGTTTTCTGAGGATGCTATAAAACTTAGGGGGGTCGAAACCCTTGCCACCCCTACATCCGCACCTGATCACAATATCACAATATCTTTGAAATCAAAAAACAAAATAAAGTTTTTATTATTATTATTTTGAAATGTAGAACATCATAAAGTTTTTAATTTACAACATTTGTTACTTTTTGTTAAATCTAATTACTTTGAGTTCTGTTTCTTAAATTTAGAAACAGTCGTAAAAATAACAAGTTTCTTTTAATAGCTAAGACAAAGTTTTGTTGATCATAAATAAGTAAAAAATTTCAAATTTACATAGTTAAATGGTATGGTAGAGTATTAAATTCGGTGATCAAATTCAAAGTACGATAATCTTCAATAAGAAATTTGACCCGAACCAACTCAAAAGGATTTAAAATCGGTTTTCAAACCAAACCCACAAAACTTTAGCAGTTAGCACCCCTAAGCACTCTCAATCTACCATAAAATTTGAATCAAACAAGCACACAACAGCACAAGAGTAGCGCACGGCAGCCTACAGCCCCAACCTATAGTGCCAATAAAATATTTTCATGATTCAAGGCTAAAAAATTTCAAAACCTCACTATATCGAGCATTCATTAAAAGGAGAACCCAAATTCTAAACAGAGAATCGCAGAATTCAGCTTCAGCACAGAAGAACAATCCAAGAGCTGTAACAATAACATGAATTCAAACCACAAAAATAACCAAAAAACAGCAAGGAGAAGAAGAGTACCTGTGTTTGATTTCAGCCCCCAACGTTTATCCAGGCGGCCAAACTCTATAAAGCTGACCCTTGTCAAACTCAGGTGGCACCACTATTAAATTAGTTTATTTTGAAGAATGTACTTAACTAAAACGTTTTCAAGTAATGGGAAATGCCAGAAGTTAATTTTATATCAAGTAAGGTTCTTCCTTTTTAAAGAAAAAATTGATCAAGAAAATCCCACAAGATTATTTTTATTTATTGGTCTCAGAAAAAAAGGAGGACAGAACTAAGTCTTCGGACTTGAGTCGTTATAAAGTTCTTCTGCTTCATTGTTGACATAACATAGTGAAAAGGATAAAGTTGTAGCCTAGTCATCAGACACAAACTTAAGTTGGTAATAAAAAGCTTTGATGAAATATTACATGTGAAAAGCTTGAGAGGCCCATCAATTAAAGTATTGGGCAATTGCATAGGATTCTAATAAGGGAATACGTACTTAAATTGGTGATAAAGAAATGGATTGATTCATAAACTAAAACTTGTTTCCAAGCAATCTCTTCATAAAAATTAAGGTTGTGCCTAGGGGTGATGGTTCCGCATGTTTACTAGCTATAAGATGCATGTTTCACGTTTTTTTTTTTCCTTTTTCGCAGCAATTACTTTCCGTTCATTACAAGAAAATGTCATATTAACGGTAGTTTTGTAACAACTTTTTACTTACAAATGTCACTAGCTTCCGTGTTTTTATAAAATTTAAGGTGTTTATTATCAAAATGCCACTAAATATTTAAATAGCAGCGTTGTTACTTATAAACGCCACCAAGACTTGATATCAGCGACGTTTCTTGACTAAAACACATTGAATAATCATGCTTTAAAAATTTCAGTGAATATTAAAGATGTTTTTAGCAGAAGATGCCTTAAATAATCCAGTTAAAAATTTGATAGGGAATTAATGACAATGTGTTTTTGATAGATAATGCCTTCAATAATCACCTCATAAAACATTGTATGAGATTATTGAAGGCGTTTTCTACAAGAAACGCCTTTAATAATTGGACCAAAAAATTTCACAGGCTTATTGAAGTTGTTTTTGTTCAAAAAACACCTTCAATAAATATTATATCAAAATTTTTGGATCGTATGGATGTTAACCATAAGGTGGTAGGTTCGATCCCTCCTTTAATCTTTTTTGAGTTTTTGTAGAAATTATTTGTAATTGATTATTGTAGGCATTTTCTTGACAAAAATGCATTCACTAATTGCTTTAAAAAATTTTGCAAAGAATATTGAAGGCGTTTTTCGCAAGAAAAATGCCCTTAATAATCTATAAGAAAAATATGGAGCTGATTCTTAAAAGCGTTTTTGATCGAACTCTCATTCTATAATCCAATTAATAAATTTTTGTTGTGATTATTAAAGGCGGTGTTTGTAAAAAACGCCTTCAATAATCGATAGATAAAAGTTGAAACGGATGCTTGAAGGCATTTTTGGTTCAAAACGCCTTTAATATTTCAGAAGATAAATTTGAATGGTCGGATTATTGAAGGTAGTTATTTCAAAAATGCCTTTAATAATATTTTGTTATGGATTATTCAAGGCATTACCTATAGGAAAACATCCTTCATAATCCATTCGATTAATTTTTAATTGGTATTATTGAAGGCGTTTTAAAAAATACTTTTAATAATCCATACAAAAAAGTCGAAACGGATTCTTGAAGGCCTTTTTCTACCCAAAATGCCTTTAATATTTCACACAATAAATTTTCGAGGGATTATTGAAAGCAATTTTGGTAAAAAAAACCTTTAAAATTTTTTGTTATGGATGATTCAAGGCGTTTTCTTGCTAAAAACGCCTTCATTAATCCCACCAAAAAAATATATTTGATATTATATATGTCAAGTCAGTTGTAGGTTTATACCCAAAAAATGTTTGCTGTCAGTTGCATATTTATGCTCAAAAAACATTTGGTTTATATATGTAATACTACGAATTAAATTTTGGAATTTACATAATAAACATTATTGTATTTGAATAAATTGACCACATATCCGAAATTAAAACTGATAATGTTGTTAATATACTTTTATGAAATAATCGTACTCAATAATTTATTAAGTACACATAGTGTATTCATATTAAGTGTAACAATAATATTAAACCAATACCCCAATGTACAAACTTAAAATTTTCAATTCAACATGGCATGTTAAAAATATTATAATAATTTGTTCCTTATATATTTACATTCAACCAACAATGTTTAACCTGAAGGTTTATCAACATTAATAAATGATAATACATAATCACACCATTCTTTACGGACTTCATCTAGTTCCTCTTTCGTGAAGCTTTCTTACACTAAAAAAAAATAAAAGTAAATGTTAAGAAATGATAACATAATGTACCTTTTTTATTTTTTTGAAGATATAACTAGTTTATGAAATTTATACTAACCTTGAATGGTGTGATCATAAAATCATCTAATACTATTTCTCGTATAAACAAAGACATAATATCCCATTCAGTATTATCGGATTAACGAGATACCTGAAAAATTAAATTGAGTGGGTTTAAGAAATATTTATCTACACAAAACTCAGCATAAAAAGAATATATTTCAACATTTATCGGTTAATGACACTATTTCGATTTCTTTATTTTTTTATCGAATGCAGATATTACCTAAATTGAAAAGAAAAAATTACTTAATACATAAATTAAATTAGTTATGAAAAATAGAAGATATATAATATAATAAAGTGTAATACGTCTTTAATAAAAGTTTGAATATCTGGGTTAGGCATCACCATTGGATTAATTGAATTGAATAAGTATGGTGTTAAGGATTGGTGTCAATCACAATAAGCACCTAATGACGACTGCAAAATAATAACAATGGTATAACTTAGATTATGCATTAGATAGATTTAGGTAAGGTTGAAATATAGCTGTAGACACCCTATTTAGTCTGGACCAAGCCCATTGGGCTGGTCTAATAGGATTTGGGTCTAAGCTCATTAGAACCCGATTTAGGATCCAATTAGCTGGTTCGAATGGGCTTTTATTTTTATTTTCATTATTTAATATATATTTTATTTTTCTATAATATTTTTATTATTTATCTACTTTTTTTTATTATTTATCTATTTCTTTTATTTATCTAATTATTTTTTTGTGTTATCTATTAATATATTTATCTTTTTATTTTGATTAATTTTCGGTTAAGATTAGGATAAAAAATTGGAAATGAATTTGGCTGTGATTTGAGAATTGACAAAGTTGGGATTGGATTCAAAGATTGGAATCCAATCCCAGAAAGAGTTGGGAGTGATAATAAACTTTTCTGATCAATCCGTTATAAATAGGTGCTGGATATAACAGAAGTAAATACATAAAAAAAAAAGCATATCCACATGAGAAGAAACAGATAGCTAAAAAAGTGGTTTTGGTGTGTTTAGAATCTCCGAGCTGAGGTCTCCGAGCCTATTTTTTTCCTCAAGTCGAGCCGAGCTGAGCCGCTAAGCCGAGCCATTCCCAGGTTTTTTTTTCATTATTTATTTATTTATTATTATTAAATTAGATTTGTTTAATATTCTTTTATTTTTATCTTTATTTTATTTTTATTTTTTATTTTACTTTTCTTTATTTTTATTTTCACTTTTTTTATTTTATTATTTTATTTTCTTTAAATAAATCCAAAAAAAATATTTTTGGGGAAAAGTTGAAAGTATCAATTTTTCTTAAAAATAAATTTTTAAAACAAGGTTTTTTTTTTAGAAAAAGTTGAAAGTATCAATTTTCCTTAAAAATAAATTTTTAAAAAAGGTTTTTTTTTAGAAAAAGTTGAAAGTATCAATTTTTCTCGAAATTAAAGTTTTCTAAAAAATATTTTTGGGGTAAAGTTGAAAGTGTTAATTTTCCTTAAAAATAAATTTTCAAAAAAGGTTTTTGAGAAAAAGTTGAAAGTATCAATTTTCCTCGAAATTAAAGTTTTCAAAAATATTTTGGGGAAAAGTTGAAAGTATCAATTTTTTTTGAAATTAAAATTTTCAAAAATATTTTGGGAAAAAGTCGAAAGTATCAATTTTCTTCGAAATTAAAATTTCTAAAAAATATTTTGGGAAAAAGTTGAAAGTATCAATTTTTCATGCACAAAAGGAGACATTTTTTTCTTTTTAAATAATCTGACGATGGAGCCTTTACAAGTGAAACAGCAGTTTTCTTGCATACTCTTGAGGTGAGGAAATTTTCTCAATTTTTTGCTAAAAGTATTAGAGTCAATTGAGAATAATTTTTAATAGTTAACTACTTGATAAAATTTTAAGGCTTGTTGGATAACATAAAATTAAGCCGGTACCATCTTTTGATGGGCGTTGTGAGGGTGTTATAACCTTCCTCACACGTAATCGAACTTTCGAACCCTGTTCTGGTTAGTAGATCCGAACTTATTCTTTTAGGGACCCTTAAACTCAGGTGTTCTTTGAAAAGATAGATTCTTTAGGTGACCAATCGTACCTAGATAAAAAAAGATTAGTGGCGACTCCTTCAAGCCAATGTCTAACATAGATCCTCGGATCTAGACGTTATGATAATAGTTTACTGTGAATTATATGAGAGCAAATAATAATCAGCCAATTTTTTCATATATTGGATCACATGATTAGCATGATAAACGACTGTGTCACTCTGCTCACTAATGAAGTTGAGGTCAACGAATCTAAATATATTGATTAATTGTCTCCCTTTGAGCTCTTTATATAAGAAGTTGCACGACAAAAATCAACACTGCTAGTTAGTGTTACACCCTAATATAGATTAATACATATTGAATGTGCATATTTGTATTTATAAGCTAACCTCATATAAGTAACAATATCAACAGCTAATAATTCTTTCAGTTCATAAAATTTTTTAACCTCATCCAGACCAATGAAAGAGAATGATGGTTTATCAAATAACCCTTCATCAAACTCAATGGTTATGAAGTTTTCTCTGGATAAATGTTTCAGTGAATATTTCGATAACTCATCCTTAGTAGCTTAAGTAAGGGTCATATTATGAGTTTGAATATCTTGCTACAATATTTAATGAAATATATGT